GTGAGGAAGGATAAACTAGTCTGTTAGCACTGGATCAGCACTAGTGAGGATAAACTAATCTGTTAGCACTGGATCAGCACTAGTGAGGAGTGTTGAGTTAGTGGTTCAGTAACCCCGCTCTGCACGTTCTGTGTCTCTTATCGAGCTGAGGATCTGAATCAGGTGTGTAAGTAAAGGAGACACACGAATGTGCAGAGCGGTGGGACTGAAAACCGCTGAGTTAGAGCGAGACTAGTTAAACCGGTGTGCCGTGTTCATGTCAGTGCTGATGTCTGTCTGCAGGTCACTTCACATCTGCGGAGGATCTGAACCTGCTGATCGCCAAGAACACGCGTCTGGAGATCTATGTGGTCACTGCGGAGGGTCTGCGGCCGGTCAAAGAGGTCGGCATGTACGGCAAGATCGCGGTCATGGAGCTCTTCAGACCCAAGGTGTGTCCGTCTGTAGTGATGGACTGATGCATTAACTGCTTAGACTAGTCTTAAAAAGTTTATTGTCTTCAAGAGTGGTCATAACTTTTTTAATTCAGTTACAAAAAGGGTGATTGGTCTAATTTGAATCTCAGAAGGACGACCAGTTATCCCTTATCTACTGCTAGTTAGTGAAACTAGTTCTTAAAGGATTATTTCACTTCCAGAATAAAAATCTCCTGATAATTTATTCTCCCCCACGTCAAGATGTACGTCTTTCTGTCTTCGGTCGCAAAGAAATTAAGGTTTCTGAGGAAAAATTCCAGGATTTTTCTCCATATAGTGATTACTCCATGCGTGAAGTCCAGCTAGTGCAAGACCACAGCATCTGTGGTTAAAAAACTATATAAATGTTTATTTTTTTTAGAAAATGAGTGATGGTTTCTCTAGATAAGACTTATTATTCGGCTGGGATCGTGTAGAGCTCTTTGAAGCTGCACTGATTTGATCTTCAGCCAGTTGGTCCCCATCGAAGTCCATTATATGGAGAAAAATCCTGGAATGTTTTCCTCAAAAACCTTAATTTCTTTGACTGAAGACAGAAAGATATGTACATCTCGGATGACATGGGGGAGAGTGAATTATTAGGAGATTTTATTCTGGAAGTGAACTACTCCTTTAAGACCCAGTCTTAAAATAGTGTCTGTTTATGCAACTGGCCCCAGATGGTCTGCGTCAGTGGAGAACTGAGAATCAGAAGCAGCAGCTCTCCACTCTAAATCTACAACAGGCTGTCTGCAAATATACTATATTAACTCTATTTCATTTCAGTGCTTATGTGAACATCTGATCTGATTTAAATTTTTTTATTGATTTTTAAATTGATTTTTAAAATTGATTTAAAATGCTGAATCTTTAAATTGATTTCCAAGGCTGTTTCACCGTTATAAGAGCTTTTTTCTCTAACTTTGAGTTGCAGACGCTGCATCTAAAGCAGTGTTTAGATGTTTACACAGATTTGTTAATGCAGTGTAAATGCATTAATGCTACCTTTGAGCTGCAATTACAATTGTAGAAATAATTCTTTGAGTTTGTTTTAAAAAAAATAAATAACATGATGATTTAAATATGAAGCTAAAACCTCCAGTAGGTGGCGGTGTTCAATCACACAGTAAAAGTGTGCACTATTAATGTGTGTTTTTGTTTGCTTTTTGCAAAGTGAGTGACTTATTGGATATTGTCAGTGTTAAAACAACAATTATGATATATTCATAGATGATGAATATCTGACATCCCTAATATCAGTGCAGAAACACCATTAGAGTCGAGTGTGGCATAAGCCACTGAGAAACGCGCGTCGATCGATGCTGTTTGTCATGCAGCTCTGTGAGAGCACTTGAATTACTCGTGCAGATTTCTGCAGCATGTCAACACTTGGACGAACAGATGTCTGCATTTGCATAATGTTATTAAAAGCTGTCTGTTTGCTTTATGTGCAGGGTGAGAGCAAAGATCTTCTGTTCATTCTGACCGCTAAATACAACGCCTGTATCCTGGAGTACAAGCAGAATGGAGACAGCATCGACATCATCACCCGCGCTCACGGAAACGTGCAGGTATGACCGTAACCCACACACCTGTCTGCATCATACGGCCTCGACCTTGTCTGACCGCTGTGTCTGTGTTAGGATCGGATCGGCCGTCCGTCTGAGACCGGGATCATCGGGATCGTGGATCCGGAGTGTCGTATGATCGGCTTGCGGCTGTACGACGGGCTGTTTAAGGTCATTCCTCTGGACCGTGATAACCGCGAGCTCAAAGCCTTCAACATCCGTCTGGAGGAGCTGCAGGTCATAGACGTCCAGTTCCTGTACGGCTGCCAGGCGCCCACCGTCTGCTTCATATATCAGGTATGGATCTTCCTGCGCGATGTGTTTGAGAGCGAGTGTCCCGTCTGCTCATGCGGCTGTGTGTGTGTGTGTGTGTCCAGGATCCTCAGGGTCGGCACGTCAAGACATATGAGGTTTCTCTCAGAGAGAAGGAGTTCAACAAAGGACCCTGGAAGCAGGAGAACGTGGAAGCTGAAGCATCGATGGTCATTCCGGGTGAGGTGACGCTTCACAGATGACTGTTCAGATCTGTTGAACTCTGGCTGCTCGAGCGGAAACCCACATGCTTACAAATACTGTATAATAACTAGCATTCATACCAGAACAAGCATTATGCTAATCAGGATAGGCCTGGTTTTATAAATCATGCAGAGTTTGAGACATTTGAACCCTCTGTAAATGTTCTTCACACGCAGCATCTCTTTATCTAAAATAGGCAGCACTAGTATTTCTTGTAAAAATGCATTTCAACAAACAAATCTGGTCTGATCATACAGTAAACAGTGTTTTCTGATTTGTTAATCAACCAGTGATTCATTAACAATTATAAATTACTGTTTTGAATCATTTATTTTGTTAAAAGGATTTTTACAGTCCAAAATGATTCAAATACCATTTTAAAGCTCCTCTGCTTAACTCTGTCATAACGGATTGTCTATTACACTGTTATTTAATTGTTCGTTAAATTCATTCTTACAGGCTTTGTTCACCCAAACTTGACTGTAGTGATTCATGTTCATGAAGTTGACTGAGTGTTATAGACACGCTGCTTTGAGTCATTGGTGTGAAATGTTGTGTGTTCTCATATATTCAGTCCCAGAGCCGTTTGGAGGAGCTATAATAATCGGACAGGAGTCCATCACTTATCACAACGGAGACAAATACTTAGCCATCGCTCCTCCAACTATCAAGGTGAACACATCTGCTGATGTCCTCCTGTCAGTTTCAAGCTGTCATTTGTATTCTCATGTACTCCGTGATTAAAGCGTGTTTCAAACATCACAGCAAAGCACCATCGTGTGTCATAACCGCGTGGATCCGAACGGCTCGCGGTACCTGCTGGGAGACATGGAGGGCCGACTCTTCATGCTGCTGCTGGAGAAAGAGGAGCTGATGGACGGAGCTGTGGTGCTCAAAGACCTGCATGTGGAGCTGCTGGGAGAGGTGCGTCAGAGCAGCCCAACCCTGCTACACTACACTGCACTACACTACATTGCACTACACTGCACTACACTACATTACACTGCACTACATTACGCTGCACTACACTACACTACATTACACTACACTGCACTACACTACATTACACTACACTGCACTGCACTACTCTACACTGCTGTACACTACACTGCACTACACTACACTGCACTGCACTACACTACACTGCACTGCACTGCTGTACACTACACTACACTGCACTACACTACACTGCAGTACACTGCACTACACTGCTATACACTACACTACATTGCACTACACTACACTGCACTACAGTACACTACACTGCACTACACTGCTGTACACTGCACCACACCACACTACGCTACACTGCACTACACCGCACTACACTGCAGTACACTACACTGTGCTACACTGCATTACACTGCGCTACACTGCATTACACTACACTACACTGCACTACACTACACTACACTGCGCTACACTGCAGTACACTACACTATGCTACACTGCGCTACACTACACTACACTGTAGTACACTGCACTGCAGTACACTACACTATGCTACACTGCACTACACTACACTGCAGTACACTACACTGCGCTACACTGCAGTACACTACACTGCGCTACACTACACTACGCTACACTGCACTACACTACACTGCAGTACACTACACTGCGCTACACTGCAGTACACTACACTGCGCTACACTACACTACGCTACACTGCACTACACTACACTGCAGTACACTACACTGCGCTACACTGCAGTACACTACACTGCGCTACACTACACTACGCTACACTGCACTACACTACACTGCAGTACACTACACTGCACTACACTACACTGCGCTACACTGCAGTAAACTACACTATGCTACACTGCGCTACGCTACATTGCACTGCACTACACTACACTGCAGTACACTACACTACGCTACACTACACTACACTGCAGTACGCTACACTGCGCTACACTGCACTGCACTGCAGTACACTACACTACGCTTCACTGCACTACACTACGCTGCAGTATACACTACGCTACACTGCGCTACACTACACTGCACTACGCTACACTGCACTGCAGTACACTACACTATGCTACACTGCACTACACTATACTACGCTATGCTACACTGCAGTACACTACGCTACACTATACTGCACTACACTGCACTACACTACACTGCAGTACACTACGCTACACTGCACTGCAGTACACTACACTACACTATGCTACACTGCACTACGCTACACTACACTACGCTACACTGCACTACGCTACACTACACTGCACTACACTACACTACACTGCAGTACACTACACTACACTGCGCTACACTACATGGCACTACACTACACTACACTACGCTACACTGCACTGCGCTACACTACATTGCACTACAATACACTATGCTACATATACGCTACGCTTTATATAGAACACCTGAACATTAGGCTCTTAAAAAGTGAAATTACAGTACAAATGTTTAGTCAAACAAATCATTAGTTTTCAGTCACAGTCCGGCCTCTAGATCGCTGAATGTTTTATCCGTTTGGTGTTGATTTTATATCGCTGTATCAGACGTGACTAGCATCTCTTGTTTGTGTTCACTAGACCGCTACGCAGAGTGTCTGACGTATCTGGATAACGGTGTGGTGTTTGTGGGATCCAGACTAGGAGATTCTCAACTAGTTAAGGTTGGTAATCTCACAGATTCATCTCTGTTTGTGTTCACTAGACCTCTATCGCAGAGTGTCTGACGTATCTGGATAACGGTGTGGTGTTTGTGGGATCCAGACTAGGAGATTCTCAACTAGTTAAGGTTGGTAATCTCACAGATTCATTATTGTTCTGTGATAATGGCGTGTTTAAGGCCACCGCGGTTTGTGTGTGTTTGCAGCTGAATGTGGACAGTAATGACCAGGGTTCGTATGTGGCTGTAATGGAGACCTTCACTAACCTGGGGCCGATAGTGGACATGTGTGTGGTGGACCTGGAGAGACAAGGACAGGGTCAGGTGAGAGACGTCTGCGCATCACTGCGGCCCAGAAGAGCCCTGATTCAGACTCAGTGTGTGTCATCAGTTGCTGTGTGTGTTCCTGCAGCTGGTGACGTGCTCCGGAGCGTTTAAGGAAGGCTCTCTGAGGATAATTCGGAATGGCATTGGGATCCATGAGCATGCCAGCATTGACCTGCCCGGCATCAAAGGTGCGGTTAAGTGCTCTTCATGTTAATCACTAGCCGCTTACATGCTGTGAATGCACAGTATATTTGTGTGCTCATTTCTTTTTCCTGCTGTACTGTACTGCTGATGTTTCAGCCGTGTAAATTGTTAAATTAAGGAACACTAATTTCTTTAAAAATATAGAACAGCATAGCAGTTATTAGCATCATCCAAAATGTCTGTCAGTTTTATGTATTATTGGGACTTTTAATTTAGTTAATCCAGTGCAATCAAAAAAAAATCATCTAATTTAAAACCTCATTGCATCGCTTTTCACTTTCAGTAATCCATTTCATCACACCCGCTGTCAGACGCCTGATGAGAGCTTACTGTCAGACCAAATCCACAGATTGATAGCCAGTTAATGACTGTCATTTTTTGCCCTTTTGGGTGTTTTGCAGTTTTAGGTAGAGCCGATGCACAGCTGACTGATAATGATTTTTGTCATGTAACTTTGTGCTATTCAGCTTGGCTTCTCTGTCACAAATATCAGAATAAATGAGTGGTTCTGCCACTGCCGGTTGCAGCTGATTTACGGCATACATATGCGTTTGACAAAAGTCAATATTGCTTCCTTTCTTTCTTTATAGGCAGGGTTCTGACACAAACTTATGCTGATATTGTGTGTGTGTTTGTCAGGTCTGTGGCCTCTCCGCTCAGAGTCGAGCAGAGACACTGATGACATGCTGGTTCTGTCTTTTGTGGGTCAGACCAGGTGAGAAGAGCGTTTAGTTTACTTCAGTCTAGAGCTGACATATACCTCACTTACTCATTCCTGCCATCTGTGTCTCTCTCTCTCTCTCTGTGTGTGTGTGTGTGTGTGTGTGTGTGTGTGTGTGTGTGTAGGGTGCTGATGCTGAGTGGAGAGGAGGTGGAGGAGACTGAGCTGCCGGGGTTTGTGGATAATCAGCAGACGTTCTTCTGTGGGAATGTAGTGCATCAGCAGCTCATACAGGTGCGTGTACACACACACAGAGAGAGACAGAGTCACACACACGTGCACTCACAACTGAGCCGTACTGTACTGTGGTGGTGTTCACGTGTGTGTGTTCAGATCACGTCGGTGTCTGTGAGGCTGGTCACTCAGGACAGCAAGGCTCTGGTGAGCGAGTGGAAGGAGCCTCAGGGCAGGAACATCAGTGTGGCGTCCTGCAACAGCTCTCAGGTGGTTCTGGCTGTGGGTCGAGTGCTGTATTACCTTCAGATACTCACAGGAGAACTCAAACAGATCAGGTACTCACACTAACACACACACACACTCACTCACACTCTCACACAGACACACACACTCACTCACTCACTCAAACTCTCTCACACTCTCTCACACACACACACTCACACTCACACTCTCACACACACACATACACTCATCACACACACTCACTCACTCACTCACACAGACACACACACACACACAGACACACTCATCACACACACTCACTCACACTCTCACACTCTCTCACACACAAACACATACACACTCATCACACTCACGCTCACACAAGCATACACACTCATCACACACGCGCACACACTCTCATCACACGCGCACACACACACACACTCTCTCACACACGCACCCACACACTCTCACACACGCACACGCTCATCACACACTCACGCACACACACTCATCACACACTCTCACACACACACACACACATTCTCTCTCTCATACGCACACACACACACACATGCACACACACTCATCACACACACACACACACACACTTGAACAAATGGATTCTGTGAATGATTCAGTGACTCTAGTACGGACGGTCATTTGTCGCTCCCTACTGGTCTAATGATGCTAAACGTCTCAGGTTACTTATGTAACCATGGTTCCCTGAGTAGGGAACAAGACACTGCGTCCTCTAGGGGTCGCTATGGGG